GGGGTTTGTGGCTGCCCTCCCTGCTCTCATCCATGCTAGGCTGCATGGAGGCGCAGGGAGTTCTTGCCCAGAACAGAACCATACCGCCAATCCAAACTGTATGCTAATTGTCAATCATCTTTGACGATAGTGTTCCTGACAGAATTAAATGTTTACACAAAATACTGAAAATTACATATATAATAATAAAAGATGAATTCATAAACAGATAGACAGACAGATAGATAGATACTGTATATAAATAGATTCATTCAGTGAGGTACAAGCAGTTCCCATTATCTCATCCCTTTTTGATGGTCTGTGTTTAATGATATCCTCATGAAACAGCTCCACTAATCATACTGTTGCTAATGGTGTCTGTGAGATGTTTTTTTTTAGTTGTACAACATATGCAGTGGGTTCCTGATGAAGCTGATTGCACAGAATTTCTCATTAGAACTGCAGGAGCTCCTTATCTATTTATTAACTGAATCAATAATCTATAAGCTATAGTGCTAATTTTGCATAATATTAGATATACTTTCAAACTCTAAATACTCAGTCGTTTCGTTTGCTTGGGCACTTTTAAGTTACAGTGATGCATAGTTGACTAATAAATAGACCTAGCACTGCCATGGAACTGAATTAAAAGTGAACATGTCTTTAGGGAAGTGATTTATCATCTAAACCATGGATTGGCTGGAGAGCTTGGCTTGTGCAAGGTAGAAATGTGGTGAATGAAAGCCATGAATCATGAACATGCAGTGGACACCATGTAGCGAACGCCTCCTCATGGAGTCACGCTACTTATGCATGTATAAATTTCAATACTGTTCATGTGCTCACATGGAACAAGGTTTAACTGGTCTGAAGAGGAACACCAGCATGTAAAGCTCTGCAGACCGTATCCACATGATAGCGGCTCTCACTTTGCAGGAGGTTTCAAATGCATTTGTAGTTTTGCTTTTCAGCAAACGGCTCCACTGGGCAGCACGTCTTCCTCCATTAGTGCAAAAGACATGGACTGTGGTGTAAATCATTTATTGCGTTCTCAAGTTTGCTGTGTTCCAATAGCAGTACGGCAGGAGATAATGAGATTGTTCGTGGAGCAAGGCAGTGCTCAGAGCCAATGCCTTAATGGTAAACACACATGGGGAAGCCCAGGTGCAGCCATCTGCACTGTTCAATAGCACAGATACTGACAAGATGCATGGGAGGGATGGGACACTGGCTTGCCCTCGACAAACAACGCCCACACACCACTAACAGAAGACTGGCAGAGGATTTGTGTGTAACTTAATATTTCCAAAATAAAGTACAGAGATGAACTGATTCACTAGAATGAACCAAATTTTCCAACACTATATATATGAAAAACCAACTGATTCACTAGAATGAACCACAATTTCTAATGCTACATTTGAGAGAACATTTAGAGTAAATCAAACTTTCTAACTCTACATGAGGAATTTTTAGGACAAACCAATTTAATAGAATGAACCAAACTTTCCAACACTACATATGAAAAACCGAAATGATTCACTAGAATGAATCAAACATTTAAAGGCTACATATGAAAATCAGAACTAAGTAAATACAATGAATCAATCTTGCTACATTGAAGAGAGAGAACATTTAGAATGAATCAATTAACCAGAGTGAATAAAAAGTTCCAACACTACATATAAGAGTGAGGATTGTTTATGATGAAATGATTCACTGCAATGCATCGCACTGTCTAATGCTATGTATGAGAGAGGGAATGAGAGGATCCTTTAGGATGAACGAATTTACTAGAATGATCCAAACTTTCCAACACTACGTATGAAAAACCATTCTGATTCATTAGAATGGATCAAACATTTCAATGCTACATATGAGAATCAGAACTGATTCACTAGAATGAATCAAACTTTCCAATGCTACATTGGAGAAAACGAACATTTAGTTCACCAAAATGAAACAAACTTTCTAATACTACATATTAGAGTGAAGAACCTATAGAATGAACCAATTCACCAGAATGAATCCGACTTTACAACACTACATATGAGAAACATAACTGATTCACGAGAATAAATTTAACTTTCCAACACTTCATATGAGAGAGAGGATTGTTTAGTAGGAATTGATTCACTATAAATAAATCTTTTCAACACTACAAATGAGAAACTGTATTAATTCACTAGAATGAATTAAAGTGTCCATGACTACATGTAAGTAACAGAACTGATTCAGTAAAATGAATCAAATTTTCCACT